AGGCCTGTGTGCCCAGGGACTGGACCCCAGATCTGGGAGTGGGGGAGGGGGAATTCACGAAGGAAGCTGCACACGGGCCAGGCGGGGGCACAGGGCCCCAGGGCCGGGCGGGGCAGTGCTTCGGGGAGCAGCCCCTCCACCCGTGAGGCTTGTCGCCACAGGGCAGGTCGCCCTGTGGGCCCAGAGCAGAGACGCACACAGGCAGCCTGCCTGCCGGGCGCAGCACCCGAGCCCCTTGGCCAAGTCTGTGCCTTCCAGAGAAGGTGCGTTTCTGCCGTGGAAAGGGGGCAGGGGGCGCTGGCGGGGAAGTTTCGGGAATGGGACAGTGGAGCCAGCTGAGAACAGCTGCCCATTTCCGGCTGCGTTTGGGGTTTTTCTTTCTCTTTGAGGGCTCCCCTCTTTGAGGGTTTCGTTTTGACTTATTTTGTTGCAGGCTTGAACCTCCTGGGAATTTCTTCTGGGAAGTTCTCCTCCAAAAACTCTCCTCCCACCTTTGCCTGGAACCTGTCTTGGATCTTCACGCGGGGGTGGGTCAGAGGAAGAAGGGTGCTTTGCTGCAGGAGGCATTCTACGATCAGCACCCTTGGGGTGCTGAATGTGGGGGTGAAGAATGTGGACGCTGGGTATGGTTCCAGGCGTGGGCCCCCGGCTTAATGGCTCACGGGCAGATAAGCAACAGAGGGGCATTGACACAAGAGACCCCTGGCACTAGCGGGGCTGGCGATCTGGACGGACACAGGGGGGCGCTCCCAGGCTCGCTTTCTTCTCGGCACCGGGACCTTTCCTGGGGCCTGAAGCCCACGCGGTGTGGGCCTGCCTGTCTGGCCAAGTCCTTCTCCCTGCCAGCCACTGAGCCTTTACTGCTTCAGAGAGGGGCCAGTGGATAAGGACACCACAGAGGCCATGCGGGCCACTGGCCATCACCAACACCTTCAGTTAAGAGGGACTTCAAATCCAGACACCGGGTTCTGTGCATGGACTCTACCTCCTCCTCGCTGGCTCCTTACCTGCTCTGAGCATCAACCGCCTCCCCTGGAAGATGGGGGGCTGACAATAACCGCCTCATCGGGGAGCTGTGGACGGACACACACGCAGCACCTTCCCCTAGTGCTGGGTGGTGATGGCTTGGTGGACGGGGGTGGGGGCAGGGGATGGGGCAGGGCTGTGCACGAAGTGACTGACCTGGAGAGACCCGCAGAGCAGAAAGCTGTTCCCTACAGTCTGAGTCACTTTTTTAAAACTAAAAATGCATGTTAGTGTTTATTTCTTTTTTCCCCCTTGATTCTTGGCAGGCCCCACACTGAGGCAATCACTTCAAGTTCTAAATAAGAACTTCCTGCTGGCAGGAGTTGCGTCCTCCGTGCGTCCTCCGCCCACATTCTGGTGGGGTCCTGGGGCCACCCCTGCTGGGAGCCCGCACGACAGCAGTGAGTCACCCAGCTGGCCCAGACGCAGGGCACACAGGAGTCTGGGCCCAGGTGGCTCCCCAGAACCAGCCCTGAGCCCTGCAGAGGCGGGGCCTTCTGCTGCCTTCCAACACCCGGTTTTATTTGATTCCTAGAACTGGCTTCGCGGGGAGGCAGGTGCCAGTCGGTAACCAGCAGCACGCATTTCAGAACAGACAGCACCCAGATGCCTGCTGCTGGCTGCGGTGGGTGGCAAACAGGCCCTCCCAACAGCCGGCTCCGGGCACCTATTTCAAGCGGTCCCTGTGGCCAGGCTGGCGAGCAGGGGCGTCCTGAGGGTGGCCGTGGGAGGTGGACACCAGGGAGCAGGTGAGACTGAGCAGGGAGCCAGCGGAGGAAGGAGAAGCTGCTCAGGGGGAAAGTGCCCAGGAGGAAGGTGGGGTGCAGTGGCAAGACAGCCCCCCACAACCCAACCTGCCCTTGTCCATGACAGCATCAGCATGGCTGAGGGTGAGACCCAGACTGGAGAGTTTTACAGCTCCCCTGCACAGAGTCGGGCCGCCTGCTGGGCCCAGACTCCCCAGCGGGCCTGCCCATCAGCAGTGTAGGCAGGACACGGCTGAAACCTTCTCGCCAGCTGAAACAAGGCCACCTGGTGCCATCTCGCCCCACGTCCCCTTCGAAAGGGAAGGCAGCTTCCCCGGTAACCGTGAACCTGCTCAGCCAGTTCACCAGCCCTGCACCCCTCTGCACAACCTCGGGGAAGCTGGCCAGGACCGCAGTGGAATTTGCAGAATGGGCCAAGCACCTACCCACCAGTCAAAACCACCACGCCAGGCCCGGCCAGTGGAACGTGTGAGCCAGATGGAGACCAGCACCGTGGAAATTCTAATAAAAACACGTGGCACACGCACAGACATGAGCATTCGTTCAAGTTCTCAGATGGAGAAGGAAGCCAGGACAGAGCGGGAGGGGACCCGCGCAGAGCAAGCCTGCACAGCTCGCCCGCGGGCCCCACAGCCTGCAGACGGGGCCTCTCCCTGCCTCGTGCCTCCACAGCAACATCTGGCCAGGCTGGACAGGGACCAGGAAGGGATGCAATCGGCCGACGGAGCCCAGCCCCCTCTGATGGCTGGAAGCCGAGGACTGGGACAGGGGAAACCGAGGCTGGAAGAGCCGCAGGCGGTAGGAGGGAACAGAGCGCAGAGACCTACAGCTGGTAAGAGGCTGTGAGGAAGAACAGGAGCCCAGCAGGGGCCGAGGCCACGGCCCTGAGGCCACCTCCACAGACACAGAGAAGGACTCGGTTGGACGCGGCAGGAGGGGGCAGGGTCCTGGGCCTACGGCGGTGAGGATGGGCAGCCCGCCCCGAGCACAGGCTGATGGGCAGCCCGCCCCGAGCACAGGCTGATGGGCAGCCCGCCCCGAGCACAGGCT